ATTTTGTTTTTTGGGTTTTTTTTGTTGTTTTTTACTCAGTGTTGGTGTTCAAACAATTAAACTACAGGCCACACATAAATCTCTTATTTGGCTACTTTAACCAGTACTAGTATTAATACGTTTTGCTAACGACACAAATTGTCAAAAGAAAATTAAACAATCCACACAGTTTTCTCCTTGTGAGTTGTTGAATTTCTATGGTATAGTGGTTTCTTATCTAGAAAGAGTCTTCAGAATTCATTGCAAATGAATGGATTATTACATCAAAAAAAGAGAGAAAAGAGTCAGGTGGAATAACAGACAACACAAGAAGAAAATACCATGTGAGAGAATAAAAATATTCCTCTTTTTTTCAGTGACAGATGAATGCCAGCATTGAAGCAAATTCAGCTAACCAATACTAGATGAAAAATAATCTATTACTGTATTAAAAAAAAAGGAGTCATCTCTTGTAATTTTCCTAGTTTAAAAATTTCTCTTATAATTTAAGTTAATTGTCCATCTTTCTCTGTGGCTGGCAGAGTAAAGACACATTTCCACTTCTGGAAACTACTCTATAAAATAAAAGAGTAGAAGCTGGGTTTGGCTCAGCTTTTAAACAACAACTCTTTGATTTGATCACTTGGAAGCTTAAACATTGGAAATAAATGCTAGAAAATGAATATAAATATAAATGAATATAAGTGATGAATATCATGATGGCATGATAGAGATGCATTTTGTATATGTATGATGAAAAGAGGATAATTATTTGGAATGCAATTTTGCCTTTGTTTTCAAACAAGAGGCATTTTGATGTGAAAAAGATGGTTTTGCATTAAACTGAAAGAATAATTTGATTGCAGCTCTGAGACAATCTAATGGCTTTGATAAAGAATCTCAGTAATATTGTCTAATACTGGAGATTAGTTTGGCAGGAAAATACCCAACCCAAATATATAATACCACTGGCAATCATCACATTTTTAAAGCATGTAGGTATAACAGTTGCTCTGCCAATCTTCCAACAATCTGTTTATCACCAACTAGTTTTTCTAATAGTACTTAGCTGGTCCCACAATCAGAAGGAGAAATATTGTAATTTGACATTGCTGTTGCCTTCAAAAAAACCCAACACATCATCAGTTTTAAGATAAAATACTGACAATACCCTGGTATGGTTGCAAAGTGAGGACTAGGACAACACACAAAACAATTTATTCAGAGGGGATGATTGAGTGGGAGGAGAAACCTCCAGGTTTTGGGGACACCAAAGGAAGTGATGTGCCAAAATTTAACTAATAGTAAATAAAGAAAAGGGAGTTTAAGCTTCTGCCCTGATTTCACAATTTATAACAGCAGAAAATTAGTAGCAGAGCAGGCATGGGTTTTGAGAAAAAGGTTAATTATTTTGAGTTATACCCTCAGCTAGGAAAATGAGATATGGAGTGGTGAAAATCCATTTACAAGAGCGTTCTCCAAGCATCTGAGATATCAGCTGCTCTTTTAAAAATAACCTTTACAGCCTCAGTGCCTCAGTTCTCCATCACATCCTTAAATGCCAAATAAGTGAAGAAATGGTAAGTGGGGTGACCAAATGGAAGAGCAATCCTGGATTGTGTCCAGAAGGAGACTGAGCACTCCAAAAACTTGCAGCATCCTCTTCAAGGCAATGTCAAGTTTATCTTTGAGGAAGCATGTGGGGAATTCAGCCCCAGGTTTATGACACAGCTAGAAAAGTACAATTTTAGTCATGTCATCTATTTAGCTTTCCCTTCATGTCAAGAAAATACATTTTTTCATCACTAATGGTGGTGTTTGGTGTAAATGAATGTTATTTATGCAATCTGTAGCTTGTAGAGTCTAAGCCACAGCAGATTTTCAACTACTGCAGCATGATTAAGGTGAGTATTTTGTCCCCAAAAATGCTCATTCTGTGCCTGGACACACAAAATACTGTTTATTCTAAAATTATGGGTGCAGCAATCCAAAGCACTTTAAACCAAAGAGCTTAATTGCTAATGGCTGCATTTTAGAATGCATAGCAGATTCAGAGTTATCTTTTTTGAAAGAAAACTGTGTAAAACCGTCCCAGCTCCCGAGAGAGGAGAATTTATCTCTAGAGTTCATCCAAAAGTGCAAGCAGCATTTGATGCATGATTCAAACATCACCTCTCAGCAAACATTATCACAGCAGGTGCTCTGAGATGGATGTCAGCACACCAGCTTTTAAACTGTTGGTAGCAATGGTGTTTAGACAAGGATACCCCAACAATGACATTTAGTCAGTGTGGGAGTCCAGGGCTTCCCTCTGGCTGCCCTGGGACCCTGGCAGGGGTCAGGAACCCCCCTGGACAGAGCCCCCAGAGACACTGGCTGTGATCTCTGTCCATGGAAAAGAGTTTTCAATCTTACAGGATGAATTACCAGCTCTGAGTGTTTGATAGAAGTAATAATTAAGAGTGACACGGGTGCAAAAGTAAAATTTTAGGATTCTAGATTAGGGGTTCAAAGGGGACAAGATGGAGGAAATTGGGTGTGTCTTGTCCTTTTTCTCCTTCTTCATGCCCTCCATGTTTCACTGTGGTGTTGGCATTTTTCTGTTGGTTTAGGCTGGGGACACACTGTCCAACGTAGGTGACAGATATTGGCACGTTATTGTAAATCCAGCACAGGTAGTTTGTGGTATTTAATGTTTGTACCATCCCACTGAGGGCAGAGCCCCACACGCTGCCCTGCAGGACAGAGCTGCGGCAGGGCAGCAGAACATGTTAGAGATAAACAGAATAAACAACCTTGAAACAGCACAGACCAATTATGGCTTCTGCTTTGGCAGCGGGGCTGACAGACAGAGACTTTCTACAATCTCGGAATCATCAATACCCACAGATTCCGACAAGTCAGATCAGATCTGTTCAAGCCATCCCACACCCCAGCTATAATCCCAAAAGGACAACACCAGGCTCCCCCCCCTGTTTTTCAGGCTTTCTAATAAAAATCAGAAAACATAAAGCATGAAAGGCCTGTGGAGAACATTCAAAAGGCATGAAAAGTTGACGTGGTAAATATGATATTGATAAGCCGGCTACTTCAGCAAAGTCCAGAAGTCTGGGCTACATGTGTGGCTTTAAACCCATTTCAGGGTACCATGGAATCATCATTCTGGGCCTGATTCCTTGTGGAATGGCTGAGGGAGGCAGGCATGCAGACACATTTGCTTTCACACGCTTTTCCTTACAAATGTGTTTTGACTAAACTCTGTGGAAACAGCAGCAGGATGATAAACCTTTCAGTCAACGTGTTATAAGGCTTCAATATAATACTCTGTGTTTTAAGGAAAAGAAAAACCACCAAAAACCCGGAGAGAACTACCAGCAGGGAGAACAAGAATGAACAGATGAATTCAAATTATAGACATGTCTCTGTTACAGAATCATTACCTACACTGGAAGCATATGAGACTGTCTCAAGTCATGGCCTGAATTCAGAATAACCAGCCTGTAGCAGAAGCTAATGACCACCTTAAGCACTGAAAAAACAAGTGGACTTAATGCCTTTTGAGCTTTAGTTTTGGTCTTTTTATATATTTATTTATTTTACTTTTTTTTTTTTTCCCAAAGATGAAATGTTAGGATCCTTTTTTGAAGAAATATCATTTTGTATAATGATTTTCAGGAAAAGGTAGATTGTTAATATTCTTGTGTAGCTGTTGAAGTGAATATGAAATCATATGAAAAACTAACTAAAAGATGACTATTTATTCAAAATGTTCTTTTTGACCAGACAATAAAAATGATTCCTTATGGTTAAAGACTTGATAAGACAGTGCAATAGATCAGATTAAATTTGCAGGTTCAGGTAAATTCAAATATGGAAAGACTACAACAGCCTGAAAAATTTGAAAATGTAAAACTTAACTATGCAGCCCCTTGCCATCTGTAGTTAATTAAACATACACTGTCATCCACAGGAGCAAGAACACACAACAGGAAATTTCTGTGGAGCCTCTGCACACCCTTGGTTTGACTGATGGGGCTAAAATATGATGCAACCTCCTCCCTTTTCTGTGGAAAAACATTTTCATCTGCTCCTCCACCATAAAACACAGCAATGAAATGTTCATCCTGTGCAGAAGCTGCTAACTGCTCTTCCAACATGATGCTCTAAAAGAATTTCAGCAGATTCCAGGATCTCCAGCTATTCCGAAGTTAAATAGGGCAATTTCTCCTTCCTTTTATGGAAAGCGTGTAAACTTGGGAGGCAAAAACAGTAATCATATTCCTAACTTGCTCAGCAGCTGTAGGCAAAAAAGGCTAATATGTCATAATTTATATGTGAAGAGTTTGCAGGGGGTTAGTGGCCATGTCTGGTGCTATTGAGGCTTCCCACCGAGAGCTGCACTGCAAAGTGGCAGCTGACTGAAAACACTGCTATTTTCAACAGTTCAAAAAATGTAAATGTGTCAGTGGCTGGTCAAACAAGCTTCCACACTGGTGATTTATTGAAATCTCTCACATTAGTGAGTCGTATGAATCATTCCTGGGCTGAAAACAGCCCCTGTGCATAGGTTTATAATGGATTCAGGTGCTGAATCAGTCTTGCTGGCCCCAGAGTCCTGTCAGAAGGTAATTTTGGGCAGCCTTAATTAGACAGAGATGATTTCTGTGGGCGGGATTCGCTAAGGTGCACAGGTCTGAAGGTAAATATGCTTTTCCAGGGAGCCTTGGAAGGGCAGAAGAAAGGAAAATAAACTCATCTCTCTCAACAAACGAGGGGAATTCAGTGAATCAGATCTGCAACCACCATTTTTGTTCATTAACAAGGGAAAACTGGGGCTAGTGGAGGCAGATTTTCCTGCAGCTGTGATAACAAAAACACGAAGATATGTTGGACCTTCAGAGCTTGTGGCAGAGCTGGGAGGGTTACAGAAGAAGTTGAATATAAAACTGAACCAGAGAACAATCCCCACGCCTGGAACACAAAGAAGACAAAGATCTGGGAAAATCCACGTGGAAATTTACCTGCAACCACTGTGACTGGTCATTGTGGCCGGAGGTCCAGGCATTAACTTTGCCTTGCTTGTCCAGCCGGGCTTTCCTGGGCTCCCAGGCGAACATGTCCATGTTGAGGGTACGGAAAACGCTGGAGGCAGTGATCTGGAAGTCCTGGATGTGTCCTGATTTCATCCCCAAGGGCTCAGAGCAACCTGGAACAGCAGGACAAGATCAGTGGCACTACTGCTTATCTCTGTCAGGGGTTTAGGTTTTCTGTTATGGCAGAAAAAAACTGCAATACTTGAAGAAAAAGATGTAATCAAGACTATTGTTGGAGACACTCGAAAACAAATAAATGAAAAATAGTCAATTCAAGGCGCTTTGTTTCAACAATTGCTTGGGTGAATCAAAATCAAGATAGAGAATTCAACATATTTTATCCTGGCATACACTTATGAAGCGAAACAAAATGAAAAGATTACTTTTGTCTGTGCTTATCTTATTTTTACTTTTCTCTCCCACAGGAAAATATTGTTTCCCCTGTTCTGTTTGATTTTCCTTATGCTTTTATGCCACCTCACATCCACCGTGTGTTTGCTTATTGAGCAAACATTATTTTTTCTTAAAACCATTGCTGCAGTAAAATGTTAAAAAGCACTGAGCTGTTTTACATTTTTGAATTATTTGACATCTAGGTAAAAATCCAGAAAGCCCAAAATCCCACTGAAGGAGGGAGAGCCCACAGAAAAACAATTGTGGAGGGAGGATAGTAGGAGGATATCACTTAGGAGAAATCAATAGTTAATGGCTTATTTTTTGTGGACATCCCACACCATTGAGTTATTTTGCTGTAGAAAATATAGATCTTGGGCTTCTCCCTTCTCTGTTCTGTGTGGAAAAAAGATAAAAATAAAAACTGATAAGTGGCTCTGTGTTCCTCTGCCTTGCTGTTGTGTGCTGGGAATGTGGAAGGTACATTTGGATGCAGACAAAGGAAGAAACAAGATGAGGCAGCATTGAAACAACAGGACTGGAAACCAGAGAAGGCAGATGGGCTGCATGGTTCTAAGATTTAAACAAAAAAAAAAAAATCAGAAAAGAGAAAGGCAAATGGCTGAGAGATAGAAGGCTGCTAAAAGGACGGGAAAACTGGATGTATGGCTAAGGGGGTGGATGACACTTGACAACTGGGGTAAAGTGAAAGATGGAAAAGATGGAGATGGGAACACAAAAAAATAAGCTGTTTTCTCATTTCCTTCATGTCCCAGTAGCCAAAACCTGCACACATACAGTTATAATGCTAACATGATCTTTAATGAAATATCTCCTGTATTTAAAATTTGAATATTGACATGCTTCATGTTAAATTAAAAAAACCCAAAAAACAAACAAGCAAACAAATGAAAAGCCAAGAGAAAACAGAGTTAACTTCTGAAAAAAAACTCCAGTCTTACATAACTGATTCTCTCTCAGTGCACAAATGGAAATGGCACAGCCTTGTCTGTAGAATGGACTCATTCAAAAACACAACAAAAAAAATTTCCTGGGAGTGGGAGGAAGCAATTGATAATAGAAATAAGAGAGACTAATCTGCTGCTTTGTAGAGGGACTTTGCTTATTATTAAATTCTGAAGTATCACTCCAGGATCACAAGGACTGTCAGCAAGGATGTTTCATCTGAGGAATGCTAAGGAGGCTCCTGACACAAAACCATGGGTTGTCAAAGCTGTGATTCAGTGCTGGCCCAATCCATCAGCACCAGTTCTATCTTTTCTGAGTGTTATTATTGATTTATGAAGCAACAGCTGTGCCTGCCTGTGTGCCTGTGCATGCGTGCATGGATTAATGGGATTTTACACTCGCCTGCCTTCTCCGTGGCCCCAGAGCGGGTGGGAAGACAGTTCAGGAGAAAGTGAGAAGAAGAGTGAGAGTCTGAAGAGGCAAATGGAATGCACACAGGTGTCAGGGTGTGTTGGTGCTGTGTCAGAGGGAGCAGCAGCTTCCCAGCCCCTGCCACAGCAGATCGTGGCTGTTGGGATGACTGAGCCATAACCCACAGCACAAAGGGCAGGGTCACAAACCAGCACAGGGCTTTGTGTCGTCCCTCACAGGTGTGTGTTTATAACAATGCTCATGTCTCCCCAAAACATATCCTCTTCACTGCGCTGTGCCTTTAAATTTGCTTTTCAACATCCCTGTGGAAGGACTCAATTTCCATTTTTATTTTTTGAAATCCGTGGAAGTCAGATATAGCTGATGCAGGCTGCACCCAGTGGAGCATCTTAGGCTAGAATGTTTGAGATGCTTTGGATACCTCCACCTGTGATAAATTATACCTGATACCTCTGTATGTTTAAATCTAAACAGGTATAAGTTTGCAGGTCTTATTTCATCTAGTTCGATGGAACAGGAGAACGGAAATAATGAGAAAGAGTGGGGATTAGCAACTGAAAACTGGAGGAATAAACACAAAGGTTTTTCTCTGTTGACTCTCCAGAGGGCAGGATCTTTTACTCTTCAGTCTGCATCCATACTACTGCCCTCATCTACCTCTTCCTTTGAAAAATATCAAACCCTCAAAGGAAATATTCAATATCCAATGTAGCAAAGGCAAACCCACAAATGGATCTGCATGCAACTTAATGAATCTTGTCCTAGACAAAGATTTGTGTACTGTTGGCAGAAGCAACATATGTCAATTATTTGAGGGCATGGTGATTTTGTTTTGATTCATACTGTGATCTTTTTTTTCTAAAAATTGAGGGATTTAAAAATTTTTCTCCATATTTTTGAATCATAGAATACTTTGGGCTGATAAGGACCTTAAGATCTTTTAGCTGCAAATATAATTCCAGTCCCTTTGCCATGGGCAGGGGCAATTTTCATTAAACCTTGATGCTTTAAAACCCCATCCAACCTGACTTATAAATAACAAATATAGAATTCCTTTCCAGGTTACACAGTTCTGAGGACAAATGAGGAAAGGGGAACCTATCTGTAACTGCAGGTGTGATAAAGTCTCCCTGTGTGTCAGTTTTGTGTGAATGGTGCCTACAGGGACTGTTAGTGATGCCTCAGGTTTTAAATTTGGTATTTTTCAGATTCTGTGCTGCTTTAGTAGTGGGTCTGAGCTTCACATTAGAGGATGGTGAGCTCTGTTCACAGAGCAGGGAGACAAAGCAATTCCTGCTCCAGCTGGGCACCAAGGACAAATGATCCAAATCTCAGCCCAGGAGCACAAACAGCGTGGGCTGGAGAGAGAAAAACAAGCAGGATGGGACTGCCTGGGCTAAAGCTGGAATGGGACAATGAACTCCAAGGTGCCAATGGAGCAGAACTGATCCCAGGGAGAGCCCCTGGGAGCGCTCGTGCATTTTGGGGCCATTTTGGGTCATTTGGGTGCAGCCCTGGCTGGGCTCTGGTGCTGCCCAAGGTGGATCCATGGAGAAGATCCTTCTCATAAACCCCTGCTTTATTCTTTAACTCCATCTAACCTCTGTTCTAGCCTGCACAAGGCATCATTAGGATAAAGAAATAGTTACCAGGGAACAGCATGCCTGAAGGAGATGAAAATTACACACTCAGGAGCTTTCTCTGAGTGAGTCCCATGGGGATGTTTAGCTTCTGGGGGCCAACATCCCTCTGCAGGATCTGAGAAACCCCAAACACCAAGAGCTGGAATTGGTGCACAGGAGCCAGGAAACATGACTGTGAGCAGCACACTGCAGGGGCTGCCTGCAGGAAGGCAGATGCTGGAGTGCAGGAGTGAGTTCCATGAGTAAGGGACACTGTTGTGTGAGCACGGATCTGCTGTTAAAAACAACAGCTTGATGCTGCTATTAATAACAGCTTAATGAATAAAGGCATTCTAATAAGCAGTAGCTGTGATCTGCTTCTCCCCTCACATCAATACTCTGTGAAGGGAAGGGAGGGCAGCACACAGAGATGTGCAAAGCACAAGTAAGGCAGGAACACAGGGCCATGAAAATTAATGCCTAATTTATTGATGGTTGGCTCCACTAGCATCCATCCTGGTTTTCAATGAGATCTGACTGTGGGTCCTGGTAAGTAAAGCTATTTATGAGACTAAAGCAGATGAACACTTTGCTGAAGTTTGTCCTAAGAAGGACAAAAAAAAGCTTTTAAGATGATCCAATGATGCAAGTCTCTGTCTGTTTATCACTCACTCTCTTCTCTCTCACCAGGTCATGTTAGACAAGCTGACCCCTCAAAGTGCAGACCACCTGGAATTAAGAGTGAATTAGTCTGTGTAATTACACCTTTCCTTCAGTAAGGTTAAAACTGCTCTGGTGAGCCTCAGCTGTCCACAGTCTTAAGAAATGATGACCTTGACACTGTTAGGAGACCACTGAAATGAATTCACTTTACTATCTTTCACAGTTCTTTGAGCAAAACAATTCCTAGTCATTCTGGCAAGGGCTTACTCTAAACTGTGGTTCCAGAAGTGGAAGACATAAAAAAAAAAATCTAATAGAACAAAGCAGCTAGACAGGATTTTCTATTTACTCTTAAACCTATCTATATTGGAAAAGGGCTACACCAAGATTAATGCATTACCTTTTCATTTCTGAATCTGGTCTTGACTGAGAATTGTTTAACTCCAGCTGTTTTGATGTATCACTCATGAACTGGATGACTATTGTTAGTAGAGTAACGAGGCAGCCACATAAAAATCACTCCTAAATGAATCAGTGCAGTGCTCCCACCAGTAAAAAGGTTTATCTCTTGGAAAAGAATAAAACATTTACATGCTTTTCTGAATTTGCAAGGGAACACAGTTCTTGCAGAAGGTGGCTAGAGGTCAGGCTTTACATTTCAGAGCTTTAATAAGAATCTGAAGAAGGTTTATATTGGGTCCACTTTTTCATTTACTTTTTGCTACAAGATGCTGTCCCTGCTTCTGCTAAACCCAGAAAACAAATCCAAACTGAAATCTTGATTAAAGCAGCCCAACCATGATGTATCTTATGGGACTGGTCCTCGACAGCAGGAGAAGAAGGCTTGTCCCTCTGAGGACATCACACAGCACAGGGGTGGTGTCACACCACAGCCAGGAGGAATTACCCAAATCAGGTGTGACAATTGCTGCTGCCATGGGTCCAGAGCAGTGCACAGCCAGCTCTGGGGCTCAGGAACCATTTTCAGGACTTGGGTGAGGCTCCTTGCCTTGTAGTCTGCTCAGGGTGTGACTTATGAGTCCGTGTAGCCATCAATACATGTTAAAATTGCTAAATGACCATCCCTGGAGGTGTCCAAGGACTGGCTGGAGATTAACCCACACAGGAAAAAAAAGTATGAAGTTTTACTGGGTTAATACCACACAGCCTTATAGGGACACATTCCTGTCCCACTGCAAGTGGCCATCATCACTCAGCTGAGCCAAGTGTTGCACTGGTGAGGCCACACCTCGTGTGCTGTGTCCAGTTCTGGCCCCTCAGTTTGGGAAGGATGTTGAGATGCTCAAGCACATCCAGAGGGGGCAACGAGGCTGGAGAGGGGCTTGGAACACAAATCCTGTGAGGGGCTTGGAACACAAACCCTGTGAGGGGCTTGGAACACAAATCCTGTGAGGGGCTTGGAACAGAAACCCTGTGAGGGTCTTGGAACACAAACCCTGTGAGAGGCTTGGAACAGAAACCCTGTGAGGGGCTTGGAACACAAACCCTGTGAGGAATAACTGCATGTTCCTCACACTCCCTGTGAGGGAACTGGGAGTGTTTTTAGCCTGGAGAAAAGGAGACTCAGAGGTGACCTTATCACTCTCTACAACTCCCTGAAAGGTGGCTGTGCTCAGGTGGGGTTGGTCTCTTTCTCCAGGCAGCACTGACAGAACCAGAGGACACAGCCTCAAGCTGCAGCAAGGGAAATATGGGTTGGATAGAAGGAAGGAGTTTTTTACAGAAAGGGTGATAAAGTTCTGGAATGGCTGCCCAGGGAGGTGGTGGAGTCACCATCCCTGGATGTGTTTAAAGAAATCCTGGATGTGGCACTGGGTGCCAGGGTTTGGTTGAGGTGTTGGGGCTGGGTTGGACTCGATGATCTTGAAGGTCTCTTCCAGCTTGGTGGGTCTGTGCATTCTGTGATTTTGCGATTTTATTACTTAGATAAAGGGGTTTAAAAGAGACTGGTCAGACTCAGTCTGGCCAAGTGCATTTCACAGCGGGGACAAAACGCGCGCGGTTGGGATCATCTGGAGGGGATGGAGGGCTGGGGGCTGTGGAGATCCCACCTGTGAGCTCGCAGCCAAGCAGCTCCATCCTGAGGGTGCAGTGCCTCCTGCACACCTGGGGGTACAGCCGGACGTACTGGGCCTTGATGGGCGGCGTGAAGGAGTTGGCGTACGGGGTGTTGTTGTCCACGTTCCCACGGAACACCTGCGGGCAAGCAACGTTTGCACAAGACAAAAAAAAATGTCAGGAGGATCCCTGGAGTCCCACTGAGTTCCTGTTACTCAAAAAGCACCTGTATTCTTCTGTCTGTAAGGGGTTTTCCCCAAACTCCAGCTGTTTTTGTGCTGCCGGTGCCCGACACAAATTTTCCCAGCAGAATGTCCTGCTGTGCCATTCTGTGATGGGTTTGCCTCCTAGGCCAAACCAAGGTCTCTGTCTTGTCACGCCCAGAAACTGAAGCTCCTAATGCAAATAAATTATACCTTCTTTTCTTGATTAATGCATAAAATAGTCGCAGTTCGATTAAGCCTGGAATTCGCTCTAATGTTTATTTTTTCCCCACCTGGATAAAGATCCAGCTCCCACTGAAGTGCACTGTAACCCTCCCACTGATCACAGAGGGGATGAATTAAACCCATCAGAATTTTTCTATTCACACCTCACTCTAACCAGACACCCCTGTGCTGTGTTTCTCCCCTTCATTATGCCCCTCTTATACAACATCTTAATTTCCTAAAGGAAAAACTACATCTAATGCTATGCAGTGCCTGAGTTCTATGCAAACTTACACAATAAAGGGTTTTTTCCCTGCTCTGTGTGCACAGGTCCATCAAAAATAAGTGGTAACTATAAACTGTAAGCACACACACACCCCGCTGGATGATACTGTTTGTGCAGCACAGAGATTAGCATTGATGAATGGGCTCTGTGTTTCCAAGGGTTAAAGCTAATCTGCCAATGCAATAAGACTAAATTGAAAACAGAGCAATGAGTAATTACTGGTAAACTAATTAATATGAAAAATCAGTTAAGTGTAATAAACAGGATTATTCTAGCTTGGGGAAATAGTATTTATGCAACCATCAATTGAAGGATGAGAAATTTTTAGCAGAGAGAAAATGCAAATTTGTTGATTTTTTTTTTTCTCACAGAAAAATAATAACAGTGAAACCTGTATCATACTGCCAGGCAATTAGGCTTAAATACCAGAAACATTTCATACTTCTGAAGGCAGCTAAACCATGAGATGCACTCAGATACAGATGACTTAATCTTACCATGTCTTCCTTTGTGCCTTTTACTTTGTACATCGTCCATGACTTCCCATCATTACTGTAGGCAATTTTATAAGATTTTACGTATTCTGGACTTCCAATCCTCTTGGCACCTTGGGTTATAACTCCAGTGACTCGCATCTTCTTCTGCAGGTTTATCTGAAATAACAGCACACTGTTAATCTGATGGGCACACTCCTTGATTCCTTTAATTCCCTTTTTTATATTTCCTTAAATGAGAGGAAAGAAACATAGCTGTAGCATTTAAATTACTGTTTTTATACTTGCAATAATCCTTTTGATCTTTCATGAATTTCATGTGCAAATATATAAAGCAAATGAATGAAAAAAATGAACCAAAATCTTGGGCTATGCTTATTTGTTGTATGTGTGCACACTTATGTATGGATATACAGAATATTACTGGGATACTACTTAATTTTGGCATATAGGGTTACTCCTACATATTTGCTGCCTGAGAGGGAAATTAAACAGGGTGATAATTTACCCAAAGCTATATTTTCTGTTCTGTCAGAAGCCAATTTGCAACACCATACAAAAGGTCCTAAGTTAGCTACAAGCAAAACTTCCACGTGAAACTAAAACTACATGGAAGCTCTGACAGCAAAGGAATTAGACTTCTCCTCAGCTCTCACTGAAAATTCATATACCTAGTGATCAAGGTTGAAATCCTAAAGCAGTCAGAGGCAAAATATCAATCAGTGGATATGAACATTCCTCGTGCGCTTGTCTGAGCTGAACACAACTCCTTGAAGTACAAAAGGAAGATTTGTACAGAGTGAACAAATTCAGCATTACTCCAGCAGCCTTAATTCTAAATTCTGCCTAATTCTAAATTCAAATCTGCTGTCCAAATACCTTAATTGCTTATACCTTAATTGTTTTAATGTTTACATTGTGGCCTGAAGACTTTCTCCCCCTTGGTAATAAAATCTAACCTCTGTGAAGGATGTAAGATGATCAGACTTTGGTGTTTTAAGATCTCTCTGTGTGCACAGTAGGAAACCTCTAGTTTCTTTGCCCAAACTATAGAAATTTGTGGTTTCTTCTGGGATTTTTTTTTTTTTTTCTTTTGAGTGAGTAAGAGAGTTTAGCTATTTCTCTGCTACTTTTCTGGAAAAGTTGGCTTTTGGTGTAGTTTTACCACAGTTCTCCCTATAAGAAATTATTAAACACTCTCACACCTTTGGATTAACAATGTGTGTTTTCGAGGTTTAGACCCATCGAGAGAGGAGAAGCCTCCTACAAAACCACCAGATGTTTTACAGGATCTTCCCCACATATACCAGGAAATCTCAGGAATATTTGCAACTCCAGTGGGTAGAATGGACTCACAACAGGAATTCAGACAGGTATAAATTAGGAGATATTCATTACTTTTTTCAGCCTTGGAAAACTTCTTTTCCCCAATTCCTGGTCCCCCAGAGAGGAAAACAAAATAAAATAAGCACATCATATTTGTAAAAGGATAGCTCCAGAGACTACTATTAGTCCCATAACTACATTAAAAATGTAGCTAACATGGAATAGTATCCAGTTAAAGATTTATGTAAGTCTCTTATGAGTAGTTCATTCTCTGTGTGGAATTTCAGAATATTAATTAACAGGCAAGTAAACCAATTCTCCATGTATTTACAAAATTGCTAGTAATGAATTGAATAGCATCTGCAAAACTAAATTAGAAAGCACAGTGAAACAGAAACCAGACATTGATAATTTGCTGACTGGTAGCATCTTCACATTTCACTGCATGGGAAAAGGAAGGTATAATGCAACACCAAACAAATTTTCTTTGATCCAATGATGCAGATAACTAATATTTTTTTTAGCTTAATTACCAATTTTTCTATTTCCAGGTTATAATATTTTGGTTTTGGATGAGAATTTATGGGGATTTTATTTCCCTGTTTACTCTCAAAGGACCATTTCTAATGAAACCATGGCATTAACCATTGTATGTTCTATTCCCATTTGCAGAATCTTTCCTTTTAGAGGATTAATTGAAAAGTGTCCATCCTTTGAGTCACAAACTGAGCTTTATTTTTAAGCAGTATTGAACTTGATGCAGTATAAGAAATAAAACCAGGCCGCCTTGTTTTCCAAGCTCTACATATCCTGTCATCGTTTGCAGAAAATCCCAGTGAAGTGGGGAAAAAATGCTTTCCAATACCCATGGCTTGCTTACCTAGAAATGGGCTAATGCCACGCTTTTCAGTGAATATGGATACCTCAGGAAATAATTTTCCCTTTGTATCTTTGGGTTCTTTAATGTGTTTTAAATTTTTCAAATTCGACCTCAGCAAAAATTGAAAATACTGCACCTTTAGCAATGGCTGTAACAAAGCACGGTCCAAAATCTTTCCTATTTAATATACTTCAGTAGGAAACTTTGAAGAAATATAAACTACATCCTTTAGTGCTACAAGCTTTTTCAAATGTGTTTTTCTGTGACATTTGTGAGGGAAAAACAGCTCAGGAAGCTCTGCTTTTTGGATTAATATTCAGGACAGAAAATTATATATTTTAATTACATATGTGATGATGTTTTAAGACAAAGAGGTGAAAGTCACGGGATAGAACAAAAGAATAACACATCTTTTTAAAAGGTCATGGATTCACTTCTTAAGGATTGCTTATCATTACCTAGATGAACTGGAAAAAAGCAAGGATGAAAGAAGATCAATAGTGTTTTGAGAGATTTACCTCTGTAATTTAAGTAATAAGGCATGGTAAAGGCCTTGTAAGAAGAAATTGCAGGCATAGACATTTGAGGAATCTACTTACAGAGAGAAAGAGAGAGAAAGAGAAGAGAGAAAGAGAGAGAGAAAGAAAAGAAAGGAAAGAAAGAAAAGGGAGGGAAAGAGTGAAAGAGGGAAAGAGAAAGAGTGAAAGAGAGAAGAAGGAAGGAAGAAAGAAAGAAAGTAAGAAAGAAAGAAAGAAAGAAAGAAAGAGAAAGAAAGAAAAAGAAAGAAAGAAAGAAAGAAAGAAAGAAAGAAAGAAAGAAAGAAAGAAAGAAAGAAGAAAGAAAGAAAGAAAGAAAAGAAAGAAAGAAAGAAAGAAAGAAAGAAAGAAAGAAAGAAAGAAAGAAAGAAAGAAAGAAAGAAAGAAAGAAAGGAAAGAAAGAAAGAAAGAAAGAAAGAAAGAAAGAAAGAAAGAAAGAAAGAAAGAAAGAAAGAAAGAAAGAAAGAAAGAAAGAAAGAAAGAAAGAAAGAAAGAAAGAAAGAATATACCAGTTTTACCATTTTAACATTTACCATTTAAATTTATTTTAGGAGCAATGGATTCAGACTTGACCTCTGCCCAAGGACCTGTGTTCAGCACCAGCTCAGAGGGTTCTCCTGCATCCAGTGACTTCCATGGGATTTGACAAATACAGGATATGCCAGGGATTTGGCTGCAGTCCAAGAACACCCAGTGCCCTAAACCTTATGGCACGAAGAACTTTTTGAAACTTGGATAAGGTTCTTCTTGACACCTGCAGGCTGTGGAATGTTCTCTGATGGCCCTTGCGTGTCAATGAGGAGGATTTCTGGAGCTGGAATCCATGATGAGCATGGAGTTGCTCAGGTAAAACTGTGTGTCAAGTGAAGCCAGAAGTCAGATACCAATGTATTTAAATCTGACTCTACAAGAACTGGATTATGCCACAGACAGGGTGGACGGTGCAAAGTCACTGTGCTGGTGTTGAGCAAAGCACAAAGAGAGCACAGGCATGGAGTCAGCTCAGTTTATGTGAGCTCAGGGACTGTGGCAAGAAACACCACCTGAGGTCCTCTGCTGGGTACAAAATTGAAAGTTGAATTCATCCATATAGCCAAAACAAACCAAATAAAATCACTTGACGCAGATACCCTCTATGACTAAGAGCTAGGGAATAAAAACTCCTTTAGTGTAAGAAGTCCTTGAAATTCCTTCTAATCTTATTTGTAAAGTTCTGTCTGATTACACTGAGCACTCTGATGGTCACTGCAGGTTACAGAGCCCTGGCCTTTCTCCACAGGAGGGGAAAAAGGGACCAGGGTGCTGTGCTCCCTGCTCTCAGCACTGGTCCTGGAGGAGTGATTATCTATTAAACAATTTTCACTAATGCCTTGGACTCCAGTGATTCACTCCAATCTGTTTGGGGATGCTATATTGTTGTCTATACCCATGAAGACAAAAAAATCCACAGTGCAAAGGAAATAAACAAGAATTACTTCTTCTCTAAGAGAAACTGGTAATATGAATAAGGCAATTTTAAGATTTCCTGTTGATTGTACAGTGCACCATTTTCAGAGGCTATTCAGAGCCAGTCCTGCAAATCTGCATGGTGTGTGTGCAGCTCCACTGGTAGCTGGGACTTAATGTAGGAGCTTATTTTTTGTAAACAAGTCCAAAAGGCTCCACAAAACAAAGGCCATCAGTAACTTCTCAGCATGGTTTACAAACCTTAGAACCATAGGAAAAAAGAAGATTAAATTCAGAATTGCAATGTGTGAATGTAACAGAACAGCAGGGACTGGGACAGCTCCAGTGCACGGTGTTAATCTTCCTCTTACAATTTATGATCAAATGCTAGCATATTCACTTTGCACAAGCTATAAAATGGGCAAAAAGATAAAAAAACCACCCAATTGCATCTGTCTTATCTACATTATTCCAGGCAGGAGAGGAGAAGAGGGATGAGAAGACAGAGTGACTTTAGGTAGACCCCTATGTGATGCTCCTGGACAGAATCCATAACCATATTCCCCTCATTTGTTATCTCACTGTTAGCAATAACACCACAAACATTTCCTGCAGAATGGCCTTGTCTGAAGTGCTCCTCCAGAGAAAGCTTTCCAGAAATGCTCAAATTAAAGCCCATATGAAACCTTGGGTCTTTGAGATCTTAAATGTAGTTTTTAGTTTCATAAACAGAAATGCATTTTATGGAGAACAAAGGTGTTTACCTGTTTCAGTCATGAGATGGAATAGTGTTGTCATAAATAATTCTTCATCTTTCCTAGCACAAAGTAAATATATCTTTACTGCTACTCACCATTACTCACATAAAAACGGGGTTGAATAAGAGATCAAGGTTATACTGGCATTAAAAGATTTATTACAGCAACCCTTCCCTGCTGATCTCATCAGGTTTTGAAGGATTGAAATTTAAC